TTGGACTCGAATGGAGCTTTGCGACTTTCTAATCGTCCTCTCACTCTTCGACTCCATCAATTAGAAAATGGGGGGATTCCGACCAACATCAGTCGAAGTTTGACCTATTCGGCAGCGGACGGATACTATCTTGATCTTCTGTCTTGTCATGATAGTCGCATACGGAACCAGCCAAACTCCATTAGCGATGCGGATGATGGCCGAGCTCAGATGGCAAGGTTGACGATGATGAAAGCACTCCTGCCTTATTTCTCTAATAGAGAATATCGAGAAGGACCTTTTCTTTACAGGTTCACAGATCTCCATCCTAGTAATATCTTCGTTAACAGCCAATGGAACGTCAAGTTCGTGATTGATCTCGAATGGGCCTGTTCACTACCAGCGGAAACTTTCCGTCCTCCATACTGGTTGACTGGTCGCTCAGTCGATGACCTAATAGGAGAGCACCTCGAAGACTTCAGGGAGGCGTACGAAGAGTTCGTGAATATTTTTGAGGAGGAAGAAAAACTCTTTCCTCCTATCAACAGTACCTATTCTTACAGGACCACTCTTATGAGGAATGGTTGGCAAGTCGGAAACTTTTGGTATTTTCATGCCTTGGACAGCCCGAAAGGCCTATATAACCTCTTCCGTCAACATGTTTATCCCATTTTTGCACCTTCACGTCAGGTCGTTTCTGATTTTTCGCGGGTTATATCGGACTTCTGGGCTCCCGATGTTGAAGAAATTATACTTGCCAAGCTCCGAGACAAAGAGGAGTATGACAAGTCGCTTTGTCAATTGTTTGATGATGCTTCAGACTGTGCTCGAGACAGAGCTTCGGAGCATTGAAAAACACTTTGAATGGTTTCATCTCGACAAAGATCATATATCAGGGATGCAAACCTCGGAGGCAAAGAATTAATCACCGAGCTTCGCCTCCTGCGTTGCTTCCGACCGCGGCTCGTCGAACCCCTCGAGTAATCTACACTTCTTTCGTTCGCTCGGCCCGGCTTTCGCTTTGCCCCCTCCAGTACGAATACTATGGGGCAATTTTGCCTTTAGTTCGCCTACGACCTGCCGCCTCACATGCCGATTCGCCCGTCGATTGTCACCGCAGGTTCCCCAAATCTGCCTCGAGGATGCAACGGCCGAATGTTGGAACACCGAACAAGGCCGGGATCATACTGCTCAGCTTCTCCGGCTAGCATGATCACACGTTTTCTTTTCATGAGAATCGCATTCGTGAGACCCTACTCGAGACCAATGTGCTTGAAGCTCAAAAAGTTGTCACATCTATTGACTGAGTGCAAGTCTCCTCTTCACCCCGCACGACACTATCGCGAGCGGTCACTGAAACTCCAGAGATCTACGCAGGATCCTACCACCAAGACGCCTTACCGCAACATTCAGCGCCTCACGATCGATTGGCACCCAGGACGAGATAGATGGACGAGAAAACAGGGTTTCTTCGCAGCAACAGCGTCATGCGCACCGAGAATAGCCAGGAGAAACGCACTGGATCATTCTACACGTTTCGTCTTATCTCTCAGGTGCTCCCGCTTCGCAGTTTGTATATATTTATGTGTGCTTTGGCAAAGATTCAACATACACTTGATATATTGATAAAGCCTAGATACTGGTTCTACTGTTCAACTGCAGACCACCTCAATAGCTGTAGACGCTAATGCAACGGCAGGGATCGTTGCATGAAGTCACATGTTTGTTCTCTTCCACTTGACCAGCCGCCCGTTTATCCCTCGATTCTTTCACTTACCGTGCATCGTATTGCCTTAACCGCCAGACAAGTCCTAGAAAGTGGGTCTTGTAGAAAGTAAGGTTCTCCTTCAGAAGCTGCACAATATTTGTTGAGGCAGGAACGCAAGGTTCCACTCGGATAGACGTGATCTTGGGGGATGCGGAGCTTTGTTTGATGGAGGATCTGCTAATCGGATTGCGGAGTGTCATCCGAAGGTGGGTCCCTCAGGTTCTTTGTTTGCTATGGGTCGTTTTGTCTAGCAAACAAAGGAACCTGCGAGCATAGATGTTAGAGAAAGAAAAAGCCAGACTGATTCCCCTGAACTTCTGAGCCTCACACGGGTTCTTTCACATTTTTCACTCTCAGATCCCATCCTTTCTACTCGCACAAAGCTCCTATCACTCATTCCATCCTGCAATGCCGAAGCATAGGAAACTACGCAAGCTCCTGCCTCGGGGACGAGAAACTCAAAAGGCAACAGCTAGAAGCAGGCCCGTCAGCAGAACACCGGCGTGTTTCATTAGCCTGCGCAGACTTCAAAAAAAGAGATCTAGGGTCGGAAACGTCATTCCCGCATTAACATCAGGGCTGACTTATTCACTGTAGTGCTCTAGTGCAAATCCATGCACGAGTTGTGTGTCCGAGGTCTCCAGTGCTTGTACGATCCAACTCGTGACCGTAGACGCAAGGCTTATACCACCGAGCTGGTAAACTTCCGCGTCGCTCTCTGCCGAATGGCTGCCAAGCTTCGCGCTGGAATACCGGAGGAGATATCGTGGTTAATCTGGGAGATCCAAAACTTGCCAACAGATCAAGACGCAGTCAATCATCTTGTTCACGGATGCTGAATCCACAACGACTTGGGAGTCTCTGAGAATGCTCATACCTAGGAGCTCAAGTCCATATCCATGACCGAGGTGGACAATAGCTTGAGTGACAGTCAATACAGTATATGTAGCTAGGTGCTTATGGGGCTACAGTCCCAAGCCAGGAACGGACGTGCTGCGATTTGAAAATGCGTTAATACTATTTTGGTCTTACTCATGCATCAGGCGTCATCGTTGAACAAGCATACATGTACGTGTGACAGGCAACTTACGAATAGTTCGACGACTCTGACGCCCAGAATAATGCACCCTTTACATGGATTTGAACATGTCGTGAACAAATGCAACTCTGCAACGATGGAAGGTTTATATAAGACAGCTTGACAGAGGCGCTACGGGCCAACTATTTTCCATTTGGCTGATCGGCCGAAGTAACCTGAGCGGCAATGGCGCGACCAAAGGTGATCCTCACCCAGACGATCCGACATTTAAGGCGGCAACTGACGTCAAAATATTCATTTCAACAACCACAGACCACATATACCGAGGTCTCTTGAAAAGTTGTTTTATTTTCCCAACGTTTGATGCCAACTAGAATAAGTTCCCTTGAATCCCCCAGTCACTTACGCCTGATTCCTAAGGCAGCACTTGGTCAGGGGCAGAGAGGCCAACATAGCCATACGACCTCAAGAGGAAGCTGGATTATGTAATAATTACACTTGCTTTTAAGTTAACTTAACTAGACAATAATATATTAGTATACTACCTTTTACTAGAAATGTAAGGTTTAACCGCTAATAACTCGCTTACTAATAGACCTACTAGTTTATAAATAGGATATTTGAAATCAGCTGACTTTTCTCTATCTAAAGAACCCCTTACCAAATTCGTAGTGTACGGGACTAGCTAGTTAAGGTGCCCGACGTACTAGGTAAACCCTTATAGTCACGTGGCCGCCGTTCACGTGGCCGCCGATAGTAAAATACGGGGTGTAAGATACGAACACGGGGTAATATATTTAGTACGGGCCGCCATAGATAAAGGTGGGTATCCGATTACGGTAATAAATCCCGTCGGTCGCAACGCATGCAAGGGTTTCACCCATTTTTGATCATCCGCCACACCACCATTATTACTCTGATCGTGCTCAAACTTTCACGATTGCTAGATCTAATAGTTAAATAGAGTATATCCAATTTATAGATTGATCGGAGCAATACGTAGCTCGTGGTCGTAGAGTAAACGTCGAACCTTTAGTACTGCGACCGAGTGACCCCATCAAAACTTTTTACCAATCTTTGATCATCTACCACACCACCATTATTAGTCTAATCTTAGTCAAACTTTCACAATTCCTAGATCTAATAGTTAAATAGACTATCTCTAATTTATAGACTAATCGGAGCAATAGATAGCCCGTGGTCGCCGAGTAAGTGTCGCACCTATAGTACTGTAACCACCCAAAAAGGTACAAGGAGGTACATCACCAAAATACTTT